CTCATTGACACAAACATGTTGTCTCAAATGGATCATTTGTTCATCATCATTGAATTTGAAAAAAGTACTGGTACATAAAAGTCATACCATCAAAGAAAATGGATTTGGGGTCCTACATTATTCTTTCTAGTTTCTAGTTCAAAAGGTATAGGGTAAATACAACTGCATAGCTACTTCTGTAAAAATAAACAAGACAGGACACAATGCTGTACATAATTTGATTAGATCCAATCATGAATTAGTACAGGAACTACGAGTCCTTAATTGTTACTGAAACACCAATTAATGCTCTGGAAGATCAAAATCAACAAATATGCTTCCTGCACAATTCCACTTTTGCTTGATAACAAGACATCTGAGACCTAAGGTAAATCTTAAGGATGCATAGAATATATGGTAATAAAAACGATTTTGCCAACCAATTTTGGGTCCTGTCCATGGACGATATCTCAACGAAAGGATGCAGAGAGTTAAGGCAGAAGCTTCTAGAAAGAGATGCTAACTTTAATATAATAAACAGAGGAACATAAATACAAATGAATCAGTATTTAACAACCAAGTACTGCAGTGAATAATGTGCAGATGTCTTCTTGATTTTCTGCTCTCGAAACAATAAAAAAAGCCATTTGACACACATAAATTCAAACACGTACAAACATTATGTGTGTCATGGGTTCAGCAGGTAGGGTAGTTACGACGATGAGAAGAATAACAAATTTTGAATTAAGCTGGGGAAAACACAAGAAAACTATATAATTAGATCCATTTAAAGAACTGAAAGTTGGGGATGCACCACATGAATGACAAATGTCCTCGAATAAAGAAGAATTCAGAACATCAATGAAATATTAAGAAATCAAGAATAATGTTCATAGAAGTTATGAAGGGAATGCATGACAAACAATGGAGAAATTCCCAATTTGTACGATTGAATCAGTTGATCTTGATCGAGGAAATGGCAAAAAACTTGATCAACACAATTTAACTTAACTTTATTAGCTTCAATATAAAAAAGAGACAATTCACCATACAACAATAGATTATCCAGAGAAGTAACCTATTAATTTAGGATGCAAGTTGTACAAGATAAGAGTAATGCAAAGAAAGAAGCAAGCCAGAAAGCTCAAAACAAACATGACATACAAGCAAGCAAACAATCACTTTACCAGTCAGCATGAGAAATTAATAGAATTATAGCTTCCTGAACACTCGTCTACCTGGGTAGAAGAAACTTGGACTTTTGAAGAGAAGTGGCTGTTCAGTTGATCCTGCCTGTTTAATTGGTTTATTTCAACTCTTGAACTCGAGATATTTGATTCTTTGTTGTCGAGATTCTCATCTCTAAATGAAGACAACTGCCCTGATCGGTCACGCCAGTCACGATTGTCTTGTTCGTAATAATGGCTCTGTGATTGGCTTGGCAACTGAAGAGCATATATAATATTAGATGATACATGCAGTAAGTTTAAGAAGCTTGAAATTAGAATATTAAAAATATCAAAACAGTGACCAAGAATAAAAATTGTCTAGAAGTAACAAGCAAGTAATAATTAGAAATTCATGTCTTTTTTATGAGGAAATAGGTGTAGGAGATCAAAATATCTGACATCAGTTAGAACCGCTCCAATGTACTCTTAAAAACTACATATTGATGGTTACATGCAAAATGTCTGCAATTCCATTCATAAACCTAGGATAACATACAATATTCTCGCTGTGGCCCCATGTCTGATCCTCGATGGATAAATCAGCCTCAATCTCCTGTTTGATTTTCAAAATATCTTCAGGAGTCTCAGCATGCTGTCAAGAAAAAATAAGTCAATGCAAAGGCAGATTTTTGAAATAAAAGTGATGAAAACACAACTGAGCTTACTCAAATGGAAGATTAACCAGCTACTGTGCTCATAGATTGGGTCTAATATAAGATAAGTCATTCCCTATTCATCATTATAGGCAGGATAGACACTCATTATAACACAAAAAGAAAACCTTTTCTCTGTGTGAATATCCACCTCATATGATCAACCTAGGAAATATTAAGCAGCATGTAAATTTATACAAACCTCACGGACTTGTAAAAGTTGGTCCTTTGTGTAACGAATGCGCTCACGGCTTTCAAACCTTGAATCCCCAGTCTGCCAGAAGATTTATACATTATAAAGAATCATAGTGGTAGCTACTCCAATAATTAAAATATAAAAGAAGTTATAAACAGAATTACTTTCTTGTGAACAACAAACTGTGACCCCAAGACAAGGCTTCATGCATATCAGTAATGAACACAGCGAACATCAGAAATTGGCTTGAATAAAACCGCAACTGTCTAGAGAAAAACCGTATCTGTATTCTTATTTCATGCATCTCAGGTCAAAATTGAGATTCAATCATTTCGAGAAAAGCTGATTCAAGTTACCGCTTCTTTCTGAATGCAAATAAACTGGTCAATACTTGCAATCTAATAAAACAGAATTACAGAAAGTTGTACTTGCAAATTTATGATTCCAATTTAAAAATTAAATTAAAAAAGAAATAATCAAAAGAAAAGGTACATCCTCAAAAGCTGTTTGCAATCATGATTAAACGCCAAAAGCGTCGATCACCTTTCACACTACTTAAGTGCAGGAAGCATTTCAGATGCTAAAGTTCCTGCCAGATTTAATCTTCTGTTGAGCTAAATGTTGTACTGAATCTCCATATATGAAAAACTGAGGAATTGTCTAAACACTGCAGATTTCCAACAAAGGCCCATTTTTTTCCACAGAAAATTCGCTCCAAGGTAAAAGAAACAAACCAGATCAACGTCTAACAAATCCCGACAACCAAACATCGAATCCACCCAAAGAAATCAAGAACACCAACGACCACACGACATCAAAACCATGAACCGTACCCAAAGAAGAGAAACACTATATTAATAAGGGGCTTCCAATCGACCTTGAGCGACAAGGCGAGGCCCACACCGCCATGGGGCCGGAGGGCGGAAATATCAGACGAGCTCAGAGAGGCAGCAGCTCCTAAGGCACCGGTATCGAAACGGGTGGCGAGAAGTCTGCTGCCTCGGTTGCCGCCGCCGCCGCCGCCGCCAGGTCTCAAGCTAATGACCGCCGGATCCGACTGCATACCTCGACAAATCACTCTCTGTGAGCGGGCGGTGCTACGGTCTCGATCGACGCCGAGAAGACCGAACGATGAGACAGAAGCGAAACGGCAACAGGAGCAGGAGAAGGATCTCGGGGAGAAGGCCCTTCGCGCTCTGCGGCGGAGAAGGGCGGAGAAGAGGGGGGCCAAAACGAAGGGGAGGATCGAAACCCTTATTATCCCAGGATGGCTTTGGGCGAGCAATATCGTAATTATATAAACATAGAGGGGTAGAGATCAACTTATCGAAGCGCATTGATGCCGCGGCGCGCCTTGGGCGTTTCCATCTCGGATGCGGTTTTTAAGTTGATTAGACTAAAATACCCTTAATCTTTCCGTCGAATAACTGATGCGAGCCATTATTGGTGACGTCACTGTTCACGTGCCGTTTCCGTGCTTGTTCCACGTGAGTATTTGCATGGGAACACATCAATATTTATTTATCTTATCAATAAATGATTCTTTTGTATTTTATCAATTAATTTTATATTATATAACCTATTTAATTAGTGCAAAAGATTTATTTTTGTCTGCTCAAGTAGTTCAATTTACTTAATTATCAATGTAGAACAAGTGGCATAAAAAATATTAATTCAATGAAAAAGGATATCTTAAATTCGTAATTAACACTAAAAGTTTAAACATATAGATAGAATTTATTTATTTATTTATTATTTTTTTAACATTTTCCCCTTTATTCACGATAAATGAGGCTTTCCATTTAGAAGAGAAGATTTGAGAGGAGGACGTTTCACTATCATTTTTAATCTAAAAACTTAAAGAATTTTTTTTTTTTGTGTGTGTTGTTTTGGATTGCAAATAAATAATTTTGCCCATATACAATCTTCAAATCCTTATACTTAATTTTCTAAACCTAGAAGATAATCATGATTAATTATAGATTATCTCATGTAATTAATTATCTTTAGCATATCAGTTTCTATATTTTCAAAAATTATATTTGAAATCCCTATACTTACAAAAATAAAATATTTAATCTTTTTTCTCCTTACATCTACATCGTTAAATCTGTTGACAAAAATTTCATAATCATCATTAATGAATGAATATTTTCTTTTCATTCTCATTTATGGATCACTGATTGTCTATATAGATGATAGTAAGCAGGAATTCAGGAGAGTAATCTCCACCGGCATCATTATTTATGATTCATCTATATATATCGATATTAATTTTCCAAACACTATCACTTTTATCTCTTACCTCATTGAACATAATATTTGAAATGTCCAACTCATTCATCGATGATCTTACTAATTCAATTCTTAATGTCTTCCTAATGATCATTATTGAGTCGGGACTCCTCATTGCTTTATTTTACAGACACAAACCACTAAGCTGCTTTTTTTCTTTGTTGAATAGATATAAATCTATTCATCAAATATCCGGATGAGGATTCGATTTGGAGGTTTACCCGACCCGAATTCTTTTGGATTCCAAGCGTAACTCCGTCTCGTTTGGATCTGAATATTTTCAAATTCTGCACATAACCCCATACAAACCCATCAAGAATTCGGATTCGGAGTCGATTTGATTTGGATCCATCCCAACTCTAGGCATATCTCCATGAACGGCTCCATCCATAACTCCGTATCGTATTGTGGGCGTAACTCCTTTCGTGACCCGGCCAGGGATTCGGATTCGGAGTCGGATTTGGAGTTCGTTCGATTCGAATGTGATGGCTCAAATCATCCTACCGAGAGTTCGGATTCGGTCTCCGATTTGAATCTTCTCTCTTTTCAGATCAAATCGTCGCAAATATCCATCAGCGTGTATTTACTAAATCACCCTCGCGAACACTCATCTCCCGCGCTTCGCTTTCTATTTGTTTAAAGAAGCTCTCCTTTTTTGTCATTGCCCTCTCCGCGTTGGGCTCTGCAGAACTCCGAATCAAACAGACTCATCGCTCTCTTCCTCTGGAGCCCTAATCGTCGCCCGAACCGTACCAAATCCCTTCATCTCGTCGACGTCATGGAGTTCCGCCGTCGATCCGGCGAGGAGGATCAGCCGTCCGGCCTTCCCGCAAACCCCTTCTCCTTCTGCGCCGATGGACACATCAGGGAGCGACCGTTAAGAGGTACGGGGGTTGGATCCTCATGACTTGGCTCTTCGACGATTTTTGTTTCTGTTATCGTGTTCAAGAAGGTTCGATATGTTCCACATGCATCTATCGCTAGTGAGCTTCCTCGGCTTTTCCGGAGATCTCGCGAGGGCTAGAGAAGCGGCGCCGATATCGCTGATGAACCCTCTCCAGCGAGCGATCGAGAAGGAGCGGATCCGGGAGGAGATATTGAGGGAGATGACGGCAAGGAGGATCCTTGAGGAGGAGGTGAGGAGAGAACTGGAGGTGGAGCTGGCGACGGCAAGGGCTCATACGGAGAGGTTACGGGACCAGAAGAAATTTGCTTCTGTTGCTTCAGATCCGAAGCGTAGGGGCGAACATGGCCGATGTCTGCTGACGGTTCCACCTGAAGCTGGGTCTGATGAGGTTGGGACCCTTGGCGCTCCACCGATGATCACAGAGAAAAAGGATTCACAAATGCCCGCCCTGGATCTGGATCAGAACAGCAACAACTCTACATCTTATTCGGAGGTTGTTATCTGAAATCTTCCTCTTTGTTCACATACACTATGGTTCTTAATTGTTTATGAATCATCTTATTACTCGGGGTCATTGTCGAGTAAAATTTTTGCTCGTGATGCATATTTGGTAAAATGTTCTCAGGAGATAAGGTTTGTAGATTCCTCCGTTCTTTCAGTAACTATATAAGTTTTTTCCCCTCTCTTTTTGTCTTGTTAGGTTTGTGGGGCTTTCTTGATTTCATCTACAGCATTGGTCTTTAGCTATGCTTGCTTATGTTGCTTACTTTTAGAGTTGACCTGTTTACTACATTCCACTTATGTAAATCTATTTACAAGATGCATTCTCAGTATTATGCAGTAAGTCAACTGCCTTTTTAGATAATAGGACTTGGATGCCATTAACTCAAGTTGTTCTAGTTTGCATTCAGGACACAGTTTCAGAAATTCACATCATAATTATTTTTATGATTTTGTTTGGACTAGCTGGATTACTGCCATCTTTATTCCTTCATTATACTTTTTCTGTAATAAATGCATGCAGCCGAGGTACAAGGAATTATTTGTGCTAATTACGCAAGTGACAAACATCTTGTGCACTGTTGTTGTAACATTCTCGCTGGCAACTTTCAGCCTAGAGTAAGTTAGTGAGCCTCTGAACACTGAAGTGCTTAAATTCACTTTTTTAGCCTAGAATAAGTTATGTACTTCCTTGTTGCTTTATATTCTTTATACTTTTAAATATTGCCGCTTGCTCAAATCTGCTCTGACATCCATATTTGCTTCTAACAATTAAGGCCTTAAACAGTAAAAGCAAGTTAAAATTTCATTATGGTAGGCCTTCATCACATAAATATGTAATTATTCTAATTTGGAAGATCATTATGTTTGAAGAAAAAAAAAACAAAAAAAAGCAATGCATGTTAGATGTACAAAGGAATAATGTTTTTGTTCCAAAATTTTTATGTTAAATATATCTATAGATAGGATAAGTTTGTTGTTGTAAAACAGTATGTACGATTATTTGACATGAATTAGTGAAAGTTAACCTTTTCTTTGGGCCTATTATCTACTTGTCTCTCCTTGATACAATATCTGCTGTTGATTATTTTCCATAGGCTAGGAAGAAGTTAAGTTGTACGATCAACTATCATATGATGAAACATGATAACAATAAAAATGTGATAGCAAGTGATTGTGCTGGAGATATTAGAGAGAAGGAGAGAAGGTCAAGCAAGAGCTAACTAGCCTATAAATGTGAAAGGACACTAAACTTAAATTGACATATCTAATTGCCATGTCATATATCTTTTTGTACACTATCCTATGTAAACATACTTTTGGCATAAGATGTTAATTGATATCGTTATTCTTTAGAGAAAAGCCAAGTGTGGTGGATGTAAAAGTACCAATGAAATCAGATTAACAACAATATCTGAAAAGAAAAAGGCAGATGTGCCATGACTTAGAAGAATGCTTCCAATAGTGGGTCTTGGTGTAGCAAGACTTGAGTTGATTCCTATGCCAACACAAAGTTGGCATAGGAAATAACAGTTGACGCTAGCATTTTGGAGCTTAGATTAAGTTACTATGTCGCTGTTATGATACTCACATTTTGGAATTTCAGTAAGGTGAGTGGATATATAGATATAGATGGGTGAGCATTCATAGAAGTACATGAGGTGTAAATTTTGCTGGTTGTTTATTTGACTAAATTATGCGAATAAGAAAAGGCAAGTTGATATTAAAGCATACACATTTTTGGATATGGATGACAAATGATGTCAATGAATTAGAAACTTTAGTCCTCTAGTAGGGGGATTTTTTCCACTCGTTTAACCCGGATAGCAGATTGCCACATATGCTGCAATCGTTTGGCCTTTGTTTGTAACAACACATGACCAAGCCCGTTCTCGACTTGTGCCAACTGGCTTGGCCCCCATATTTAGTGTGCTTGTTAAGTACCTGTGTGCCCGAAGAGATGGTCATTGCCCAGGTAAGATGTAATCAAA